GGATGGGGGAAATGTTTCCAGGCCACCAAATATTGGATTCATCCCCTATGTTTCCTGGAATCCAAAATTTCTTTAACTTCAAAATTTTGTTCTCCTTCAATTAGGAGGGGGATAGGGGGTGAGGTTTGTGGTGAACCGATAGAAGATGTGTGTTATGACTTTAGTAAGTTTAAATGAAACACAGGATGGATTCTCCTAAGAGTTTTTCAATTGCACTGATCAATTGCACTGACACGGGATTCACAATTTTGACAATGGGGAAAGGACCCATATATTTCAGACCCAGTTTCTTCAATTTCTGGGTAGTTTGAAGGAACTTGGTGGACAAAAATACTCTATCTCCAACTTGGTACTCTTTTGGCTTTATCCTTTTTTATCAGCTTGTTTTTTGTGCACTTGGTGAGCGACATCTAAGGCCTTGTGAGTCATAGGCCAGAAATGTTGAAACTGATCATTCCATTTGGACAAAGACAAATTTTGTGGTTTCTTCTGAGGTAATTCAGGAATGGGTACAAAATCCTGGCCAAACACTACTTTAAAAGGGGTCATTCCAGTACTGCTATGTACTGAATTGTAAGCCACCTCTGCATGGGGCAAGAGGTCAGCTCAATTACTTGCTGATAATTGACATAGCACCTAAAATACTGCTCTAGAACGGAGTTAGCCCTTTCACAAGCCCCATTAGTCTGTGGATCATGGGTGGAGCTTAACTCCTGGAGGGAGCCAATTAACTTTAGGAATTCTTTCCAAAAGAGAGAGGTGAATTGGACCACCCTATCTGAAATAATGCATTTAGAAACCCCATGCAACCTATACACATGTAAAATAAACAGTTTAGCCAGGGTCTTTGCTGATGGGATCTTGGAACAGGGTACAAAATGCACTTGCTTGGAGAACAAATATGTGATAACCAAGATGACAGTATTTCCCAGGCTTTCTGGTAGCTCAGCAATAAAATCCATTGATATCTCCTTCCATGGTGCACTAGGTCGGGCAACACTCTGAGGTAGTCCTTGAGGTTTCCATGGTAGTCTCTGCTGCTGCACAAATAGGATAGCTAGCTATGTAGGATTCTACGTCTTTTTTCAAGGAAGGCCACCAAAACTGCCTTTTAACCAAATGCAAGGTTTTCACAAAACCAAAATGCCCCGCCATTCTTAAGTCATGAGCTTGTTGAAGGCTGGCAGGAACATACAGCTTTACTCCTACCCAGGCAAGGCCATCCTGCATAGTGCACTCCTTGGAGTGCCACTTGAACCAGCCATCAGGTGCGAGGCCTTCCTTCAGTTTTTCCATCAGATCAGTGGGCACCTCCAAATCCACTTTTCCCTGGTTCTTGGGGACCATGAGGGCTATTTAGCTGAGATGACTGGATGAATCACCATTGATTTGGTACTGTTGTACTGGGGAAGCTTGGACAATAGATCAGCCATAAAGTTTGCCCCCCCCCCCCCAGGGATGTATTTTTGTGTAAACTGAAATCAGTTAAAATGGTGTACCCAACAAACTTATTTTAGTGACAATTTTCATTTTTTTTAACGCTTCAAGGTTTTTATAATCAATCCACACCTCAAATGGATGTTTAACCCCCTCAAGGAAATGCCGCCAGATTAGCAAGGCCCACCAGATGGCAAACGCTTCCTTTCCCCATATTGCCCATCTTCTTTTCATTTCTGTTAGTTTTTGGGAGGTGTAGGCGCAAGGTTGCAGGTTTACATCATTTGGAGCAACACTGCCCTCAAGGCAGTGCATTTGCTTGGATCACAAAGGGTGGTCCATGTCAGGGTGCTTTAACACTGGTTTAGCTGCAAACTGGTTCATTTCAACTTCTCAAAAGCTGCTTGACATTCCATAGTCCAATTCAGAGGTTTACCAGGCCTAGGTCTCCTTTTGATTTTATAAGATTCTTAATGGGCAGTGCAATGCTAGTGAATGAAGGAATGAATTGGCAGTAAAAGTTTGAGAACCCCGAAAAACTTCATTAGCAGCTTGCAGTTGCGAGGAGCTGCCTATTGAGTAACAGCCTGGACTTTCTCTGGGTTCATTTGATACCCTCGTGAAAGATACAGTACCCCAAATAGTCAATTTTCTCCTGGTGAAATTCACACTTAGACAATTTGGCATAAAGTTCAGCGGCTCAGAGTTTCTTCAGGACTGAGTGCACCTATTTCTCCTGTTCCTCATGTGTTTTTATGTAGGCAAGGATGTTATCAAGGTAAACTAACATCCCCTTGTACTGGTGTTCATGCAACACCTCATTAATCAATTGCATGAAAACAGATGGTACCCCCTGTAGTCTGAATGGGAGTACTCTAAACTGGAAACATACCAAAGGGCAGTTAAAAGCAGTCTTCCATTCATCTCCCTCTTTTATTCTGACTCTGTAGTAGGCCTCTCTTAAATCTAATTTAAATCTAATTTGGTGAAAAATTAAATCTAATTTGGTGAAAAATTTTCCCTTGCCCAAGTGAGCTAATATGTCCTTCATAAGGGGCAAAGAGTACACGTTTTCAACGCAAATGGAATTGAGGTTATTGTAGTTCACGCATAAGCGAAAAAAATCCATCTTTTTTCTCTTTGAACAAGACTGGCATGGTTAGCTAGGGCCTAGCATGTTGTATGAACCCCCTCTTTAAATTCTTATCAATGAAATTGCATAATTCCTTTATCTCGCATGGGGTCATAGAGTAAATCTGTGGCTTAGGGAGCTTCTCCCCTGGGAGAATTTTTATGCTGCAATCTCTGGCATCATGGGGAGGGAGCTTGTCAGAAGCCCTTTTGCTAAAAACCTCCTTGAGATTCCAATATTCCTTTGGAATTCTTTCCTCTCCCTCAAGTTTTTCACGTGTAACAGTTGCTAAGTCAGTTACAGCTTTGGCTAGGTGGGAAGTCTTTCCCTCCACCTCTGGCGGTTTTGTTGACTCGATACATAACTACCCCTTCCGACAGTTCACGTGAGGGTTCCATTTCCACAGCCAAGGTAATCCCAATATAAGGGGCCAATCCATCCCGGGTGCAACAATGAAACTCAAAGTTTCTTGGTGCTCTCCCATCCACATTTCTACTGGTTCAGTTACAAAGTAGCAACACCCCTCCCCACAGCCAAAAGGCAAAAGGAAATGGGTATTTCATAGTCTTAAACCCATTTTTTCCACCACCTCTGGACTAATTACACATCAAGTACAGACAGAATCTAACAGGGCCAGCATCTTCCCCTGGGCTCCAGTTGAGGGTACTTTTATTTCTACTGGGATGGTCATGGGGCCTGATTGGGGACTTACCAGGTGGTCATCACTGGAGTCGGTTTCACTTTCTCCTGAAAGAGGGGAGGGTTCTGCTTCCTCCTGGCTTGGAGGAAGGGCATCAGCAACTTCCACACCCTTCAGGGCGGTTTCAAGGCATCTCCCTGGCTGCTGGTTGGGTTTCTTCTCTCCAGCTGCAGCTGGTTTTGGGCCAATCTTAGAATAGCAGTGGGCAGCCTGATGCCCCTCCTTCCCACATCGGAAATAGACAGTTGATTGGGACTTGGTTGCCAAACCCCACTTTCCTGCTCTTGGAGCCTCTTTCAGCAAAGGGGGGGATTTTGGTTCTGCTGCTGCCTCCATGGTATTGATTTTTTGCTAGGTCAATTTCCACATTAGCTGCCAGTTCATACCATCGTTGCAGGTCACCAGGGGGAGGGGGCTGTTCACACAACTCTGGTATACATCGTCATTCAGGCTGTCCATGTAGCTTTCCATCAAAGCTTCCTTGGACCACCTCTGCATATGCACAGATAGCTCACGGAACACCTGTATATACTCAGCCACAGACCACCTCCCCTGGGTTAAGGTTTTCATCCTGGTTCTTGCCTTCCAATTTGCGAGGGGGTCATCAAAGCATTTCCCTGGGGCTGCCATAAACACATTGTGATCTCTCAGCAAGTGGGAATCAACATTATGCAAAGTGACCATCCAGACAGCTGCTTTGCTCTCCAATGCCATAGTGACAGCTCTCACTTTGGCATCCTCCGATGCGAAATCTTCTACATATTGCTGCATGTAATTCCAAACCTGAACTAAAAACCCCCAGTTGTTTGGGATCTCCTCCATACTTCACTCCAAGAGGAGGACTCTTTGGATGTTGATACTTGCATGACCCCACTTCCTCCCTTTGGAGGGGCTCGAATGGCTGCTGCTGCTGCTGCTGCTGGGGCACCTCCGTCTTGACCAGCTCTGATGGCTGCCCCCAGGGCTGTCTCAGGGTTAGACAGGTCATCTGCTCATCCCTCCACCTGCTCAGCTAATCCAGTCTCCTTTTCAGCAAAGATTTCGTGGAAACAGCGCTTTTTCCAAGCTTCCTGAAGAAGGTGTAGAACGTGGGTCATCATGAGATCCTCTGCACATCAGAACAAACTAGACACAAGGACAGTTTTTCCTCCCATGCTATCATGCTGCTAAACAACTAATTCCCACAACACTGTCAAATCTAAAAAAGCAATGTTACCATCATTATTTTCATTTTCCCTATTACCTATCTCCTGATCTTCTTATGACTATAACTTATGCACCAGAAACAAATTCCTTGTGTGTCTAATCACAATTGGCCACTGTAGTCTAATTATCAAGTGATGAATATGCACATGTGGACCATCTTTTAGTGACTCTAAATTTCAGTGCATTTATATATCTGCATAATTTGTAGCACTGTTGAAAATATCTAAAACTGAAGTAGCATAATCTTACTGACATAAAATAAAAACATTGTTTAATTTGTTTTGTTGATAGGAACTGAACCAAAATACTTATTTAAATAATTGATATATAGTTGGAGGAATTGTTTGTAATGATTTCAGAAAAAAGTAGACGAGAACATAAAATTTCATTCACACTTTGTATTCAGTTTTTATAAATATTGATTTTCCTGCAAAAACATGAAACTGCATATGTAAGTAATTGATGGTTCAGGCAAGATAAAATTAATGTAGAGTTTGTGTGTTGATTATGATTTGATCTGTCTGTTTTCTAGGCTTTCAAAACACAAGATGGATACATTGTAGTAGGAGCAGGAAATAATCAACAGTTTGCTACTGTTTGCAAGGTATGATATTCAGAAAAAAAATAACTTACTTAAATAAGCTGTTTCTTTGACTTACTAGCAATTAATGAGTAACTACTAGGAACTTTGGTGGTGCAGTGGTTAGAATGCAGTATTGCAAGCAAACTCCTCCCAAAGCCTAAAGTTCAATCCTGATAGAGCTCAAGGTTGACTCAACCTTTGATCCTTTCAAGATCCGTAAAATGAGGACCCAGATCTTTGGAGGCTGACATTGTAAACTACCCTGACAGACCTATAAAGCACTATAGGGTGGTATACACTGTTCCCTCTAAGGTGCGCAGCCGCGCATGAAGCAAGAAAACCCCGAACATCAGTTTCTAACTGCCGCACAGGGGCCTCATAAAATCTAGGGTTAGCACAGGCGCAGGGATGGTGGCAGGAGCTTACGCGGCGCAGCTGGTCTCCTAGGACCTCCTAGGTGCTGGCTGTGCCACTCATTACTGTCAGTCACTCCGTGTTCAGCAAAGCAAATGTGGGGAAGTCCTTTGCAGGCGGCTAGAACTGGCCGCCTGCAAAGGACATCCCCAGACTTATTTTGATGAGCACGGAGCGACTGACGGTAATTTGTGCCGGCCGTGGCCGCTCAAACTAGCGTCAGTCACCCCCGTGTTCAGCAAAGCAAGCCCGGGGAGGTCCTTTGTGGGCAGCCAAACCTAGCCGCTTGTGCCCGGTGCTACGGCTGAAATAAACCCCCAAAGCCCCTGCCATCACCAGAATATCTGCTGCCTCCTCCTCCTCCTCCTCCAACAGCACTGCCGGATTTGCCACCCGACGCTGCGGCTGAGGTGAAGCCGCCAAAGCTCCCGCCAGCACCCCTGCTCAGCTGAGGTGTTCCGAGCAGAGAGGGAGGCACCACCGCCACTGCCATGGGCAGGGGCGCCAGCGGGAGCTTTGGCGGCTTCACTTCAGCTGCAGTGCTGGGCAGCAAATGTGGTGGTGCTGTTGGAGGAGGAGGAGGCAGCGGCAGCAGTTATTCTAGTGGTGGCGGGGGCTCATTGGCATCTTCAGCGTGAGCCCTGCCCCCAGTGAAAAAACCGAAGAGGGAGCAGATCCACACAGATGACGTCGCCACAACATGACTGGAGGAGGAATTCTGGGAGTTGAAGTCCATAAGTCTTAAAGCTGTCAGGTTTGAAGACCCCTGGGGATTTTTTCCCTAAAGGGTTATGGGTGCAAGGATCTTGTAACTTGACAGCTTTAAGACTTGCATGCTTCAATGCCAGAGTTTCTGAGCCAACATGACTGGAGGAGGAATTCTGGGAGTTGAAGTCCACAAGTCTTAAAGCTGTCAGGTTTGAAGACCCCTGGGATTTTTTCCCTAAAGGGTTAGGGGTGCAAGGATCTTGTAACAACAGCTTTAAGACTTGCATGCTTCAAATGCCAGACTTTCTGAGCCAATATTTTAGTTGCTAAGCAGGAGCGTTGTTAAGTGATACTGATATTATATAACACTTTTAATTAAGCGGGTACCTTGAATAAACATAACTTTGAGTTTCAAATAAGACTGATTTCGTTGTTGTCATCTGTGAAAAAAATTCAGGTGCTCAGGGATGAAAATGTGCCGCTCAAACACTATACTTTTCTGCTCACACTGAAAAAAAATTAGAGGGAACATTGGTGGTATATAAGTCTAAGTGCTATTATATTAGTTCCAAAAGTGAAATAGGTCATATATAGTTTTAAAAAGTACTGTAGTGTGAAGAAATTATGTTCACATGAAAATATAATAGTGGTTGTAATTGTATCTTTTAGGAGTAATGTTTACCTGGAAATCTACCTAAATCCCAACACTTGAAGGACAAGATAACTGATTTCAGTTTAATAGGATTATTCTGTCATCCTAAGTGAAACTCTTAATTCATTATTTTAACCTATGATTTGCATTTTTTTTCTTGTTACAAATTATGAAAGCAGTTGGCCTAAATATCTAAATGGCAAATTGGCTACGTGTACCAATACCATTTTTCAATTCTTCAGAAACTTGGTCTTTTGTTCCACTTCAACTGTAGTCCAAAGAAGTTGGTATTGCTTAAACCTTTACCAGAATAAAAACATAGTAAATCAAAATTATCAACACAGTGGCAAATATAATTAATATTGTTATATACAGATTTCTAAACACCTTTGATATATAGAAATGGTTTTGTAAATGTAGAGAGCAATGGCATGGGAGAAATTAAATGAATGAAATATAGAGATGATGTTTATAATAATCATACATATAAATATATTTTAAAGAGTGTGGTTTTATTTATTAAAATGTTCAATAAATCATACACTAGCATTAAAGCTTAGAACTTTCACTGGCATTATGTTCCTGAATGTATTTTAACTCATTTGATTTAGATTCTCAGTTTGCCTGAAATTATTCATGACCCCAAATACAAAAATAACCAGCAGCGAGTGGTAAATAGGAAAGAACTTATTGGAATATTGTCAGCCAGGTATGTCCGCAACATTTAATACATTTATTTGCAAATTTCATATGTTAATCATACTGAGCATTCTGCGTGTATGTGTAATGTGTAAATGATTACTATCATGTAAAGAATATTTAAGTTTTTTTGGTATGGCTAGTATTAATGGCAGGGCAATGTGTACTAATAAAACTGTATAATAAAGGTTTCTTCAAAGTAATGTCACTAAATGAATCTTCTCTTGAGCATGTTTGCATATAGGCACAACAGGAAAAAATGATTAAAAATAGTAAAAGGAAGAAAGGAAACAATACCAACAAGAAACAAACAACAAATATTGGAGTGAATATGCATGTGTGCGCACACATGCATGTGCATGGACATGGACACACACAAACAATGCAGATAATACATAATTTTATCTGACTTTAGGTTGATGTTGCGGCGGGAATGGCTGGAAAATAGTGAACTCCACCAGGCTCCTTAAAATGAGCCAGTAACTGCTTGCTGGGAGACCCTATGGTGAAGAAAGGAGAGGCAGTTCATCAATTATGAGGATACTGCAATTTCCTCATTGATCCGAAGAAAGCTCCCCCAAATGGCAGCAGGGATGACAGCCATTTTGGTCTGTCACAAGCAGGGACAACCAGGACACTAAGATCTTGTGCTGGAGCAGTGCATGGACAGTGAAACTAGGTGCAATAACTTCCTACTTTTACCCCAAAGATTTAACCCAAGTTAAAAATTACAAAAAAACAATCTCCAAATAGTAAGAAAATGGCAACTAGATTTATGGAGAAGGATTAAAGACTAAAAATCAAAGAGAAAGACTAAAGATTAAAGACTCAGATGCAGAAGAAATATTTAAAGGATGTTTTAAAACACAGGAAGCCTGGAAAAAGTCGAACAACATTGTGAAAAGTGATTATTGGCAGAAATTGCTTTTCTAAATTCTGTATTTAACCACACTAAATGGTTGACAGTCAGCTGTTTTGACTTTTATACTCTATTGAATGCTGGAATTGGGAGCAGAGGAGCCATCTACTGGAGGAAGAAGATTACTGCAACTTGGGAAATTTGAGTAAAAGTAATGAAAGGAGAGAAAGCAAGCAACACCTGGAAGGCTATTTGATCTTGACTTTATCTTAGTAGGTGATTTGGAGGCTTGGAGATATCTACTGAGCTATTTGAAGATTTTTAAAGCAATTGAACTATAAATATCAAAATTTTATTGAACTGTTTATTGAAAGGTGGATTTGAAATATTTGAGGAAACCTCAAGGGCCAAGCTGGATTTGATTCACCAACATCATTTGATAGATCATTCTACAAGGCAAAAGAAGAAAAGTGGTGGAAAGCGTGGGAGAGAAAAAGAAGAAAAGACAAATAAGAGTTATCATTTGGACAATTGGAAAGGTGTAAGTTGGAACTATAAAGACTGTAAAGTATATATTTATAGCTTTTAAGGACTAGAAAACTAGGGGATTTGGAGGAATAATTCTGGGATTGATAAATTTTATTAATAATTGCTTTTTTGGAGTTTTTTAGATATTGGAACACTGGAATATTAGAGAATATTGAGTAATTTTTATATATTAATTTGGTACAAAATGACCCAGCAGGAGACAATGAAGAAATGTTAATGATGGCTAAAAGTTTTTATGAAAGTATGACAAAGAATCATGAGACAATGATAGGATCGTCCAAGGATAAAGAAGTGTGTTTAGAAGATCCTCAACAACGTGTGAGAAAAGTAGAACAAAATATTCAGAAGAAATATGAGAAATCAGAAGGAGTGGTGGTGGAGACAAATTAAAATAAGCTACAAGAAAACAAAAACAATGGAAGGACAATAACGATAAATACTAAGAGTCGAATAGATAATTCCTTAACAGCTTACAATAGCACAGAGGAAAAGAGAAAGACTTCTCAAAAGTAATTGAAGGGTTATGGATGGACACCCAAATGATGCAGCAGAAGGAGATAAGGGATAAGGCAGAGGGAATATTCAGCCTGTGCAAAAATATTAGAAAGAAATATAGGATCCCAAAAGAGAAATATAAAAAAATCACCAAAAAGTCAATAAATGATGAAATTCTAAAAAGGCTGAGGGATGACAGATAGAGACATAATATCTTCTAATACTGTGATTGTATTAAAAATGAATAGTAAAGAATAGCAAGTATTGGGGCACACACACACACACACACACACACACACACACACACACACACACACACACATCAGGAGTGGGTTTCAGTCGGTATGCACTGGTATGGTACAGGCAGACCAGTTGGTGAAATTTAGCGTGCCTTCTCATACCTGATCTTCCAGAGGCCCCGTACCGGAACGCTCCCTCCCCTGGCCTGTGTCCCCCACTTGTTCCCTCCACCCGCCTGCCCAGTCACCGCTCACTTGCTCGCTCTGCCTGTCTGCACCAGGATTGCTCCACCCACCTACTTAGCCACCTCATTTCCAATGGGGGGTGGAATCCATGAGTTTTTTCTCCTTCTGAATGGATTTCCCATCACCACCATTGGAAATGAGGCAGCTGTCACACACACACACACACACACACACACGCACACACCATTGGAAATGAGGCGGCTGACACACACACACACACACCATTGGAAACGAGGCGGCTGACACACAAACACACACACACAAATTGCATATGTAATGTAAGGGGGGAATCCATGCCTTTTTTCCTCCCTCTGCATGGATTTCCCCCTCATTGGAAATGAAGTGGCTGTCAAAGAGAAGGGAGCAGCATGCGCCAAATGGGCTTGTCCAACAGCCGAAGAAGGAACAGGAAGCAAGGATTCGGCTGTTGGACAAACCCACATGGCATGCACTCCCTTCTCTTTGACAGCTGCCTCATTTCCAACGGGGGGTGGAATCCATGCATTTTTTCTCCTTCTGAATGGATTTCCCACCACCACCATTGGAAACAAGGTGTCTGTCACACACACACACACACACACACACCCCCCACATATGTAAGTGGGACTGGATCCGCTGGGAGGCTGGCAAAAAAGAAGCCTCTATTTCTCCGCTGCCGCAGCTTGCAAAAAAAGGAGTCAGGGATGATGGCCGGCAGTTGCCCCCTCACCACTTTCCCAGCCAGCCATCCAGCTAAGCAGGGCAGGCAGGGCTGCAGCAGCAGCAGTGGCCATCATCCCTGCCTCTTTTTTTTGCGAGCCGCAGCAGCGGAGAAACAAGGGTTCTTTTTTGCCAGCCTCCCAGCTGATCCTCTCCCCCTTACACATGTGCCTTGCATTGCAGCAAGTGCGGTGTCTGTGTGTGTGTGTGTGTGTGAGTGTGTGTGTGACATGCGTGCCTTCCGTTGCATGCCCAACACCTTAGGACACCCATCAGGTCACCCACTGAGCAGCAGAGAAATCTCGGCAAAAGGGGGAAAAACCATTTGAAATTAGCCCTCTCTGCCACTCTGCTAAAAAGGTGGGAACCAAGGCCAAGAGATAACAGGATAACTAACCATATTTGGTTAACCCCCAGAGCGGTAAGAGGCTGAATTGGGAGCTCTGTGAATTGGCTTGTAGGACACAGAATGCTGTGATCATCGGATTTATTGGGCACCAGTTTTAGTTCATAGAATATATGTACGAAAATAATTGGAAGGAATGTGTGTGAGAGGGGGGTGAGAGAGAGAAAGAGAGAACGATAAAGTGAGAAAGAAAGGAAGGAATGAAAGAAGAAAGTGGGAGAGATACACACAAGGAAGGAGGGAGGGAGGGAAAGAGGGAATGAAGGGAGGGAATGAAGGGAGAGTGAGAGAAAAAAGAGAGACAAAGATAGAAAGAAAGAGAGAGAAAGAAAGAAAGAGGAAGAAGGAAAGAGAAAAAAGTAAGAAAGAAAGAAAAAGGAGAGAGAGACAAAAGGAAGGAAGGAAGGAAATATGGAAGGAAGGAAAAAGAAAGAGAACTTATGACCACAATTGAGCCCAAAATTTTGGTTGCTAAGCAAGAGCGTTGTTAAGTGTGTTTCACCACATTTTCCAAGTTGGCCAGGCCCACTGGGTCACATGACCGCCGAGCCACTCCGACAAAACAGCCATATCTATAGAATAGGTTCTAAATTTTTTTGAAACCCACCATTGAGATATGTATGTATGTATGTATGTATGTATGTATGTATGTATGTATGTATGTATGTATATATGTGTGTATGTGTGTATGTGTATGTATATGCATATGCATATGCATATGCATATGCATATGTATATGTATACACACACACACACACATACATTTATTATAACCATAAATGTACTAAGGTTAGGAAGTGGAAAATTGTGATTAGGCATATTTAAATATATTGTTATGATTAACAGTGTGAAAAAATATATTGGCATTTATAGCTGTTAAAGACTACAAATTCAGAGGACTCAGAGATATAATCCTGGGACCTATTAAATTTTACTAATAAATGCTTTTATTGATCTCTATAGAAAACTGTTGGAAATATTGTGGAATTTAAGTAATATTTAAAATATTGAAATATTGGTGATTTAACCGGGGTCAACAAACACATTGTATGAAGAAATGTAGTGGATATTGAAATATATTTTTGGAGAAAGCGATGAAGAATTATAAAGAGAGAACACTATTGTTAAAAAATAAAGAGTTGAATATGGAAGAAGCCCAACCATTGGGGAAAAATAAGTACAAATTGGGAAAAAATATTATACATATTGATATATAAAAGAATATATTATAATTATAATGAGGGTCTTAAGATTAGAAGTTGGAAGATAAAAACTATGTATATGTAATTGCATTATTATTGTTAACACTGTTTAAAGGATGTATTGACCCAGCCATTACACTATCCACAAAATATGTTGGTTGTTAAAGGACAACTGCAAATAAAACATATACCAAAACAACAACAACAACAACAACCCACATAACTTTATCTGAAAAGTGGATAACTGGAGATATTAGGTGAGCAAATGCTTAGTTAAAATGGCTAAGAAATAAAATTATAAATTAAATGGCATAATTATAAGCTTCTGTTTGGTGCTGTTTAATATTTAGCCAGTAAACTCTCCATGTAATTAAATACATTAATCCAAAGAAAAAAGTAAGCTAGCCTTGAATTATTTCACAGTGGTATTAACTTTAAAAAATGTATTAATTTCTGATTTCTTAAGTTTGTGAAGTATTAATTGAATATCCCAAACAGCTTCTGGAGCCTAACCCTTGAAAACATTTTGCTCCTCATTCAAGAAGCTTCTTTAATTTCCTGATTAATTTCTATAAGTCCATCCAATTTTCTGATGCAAGCCAGCATTGATAAAACCAAAAGGGCTAACTGAAGTTAATTTTTCCCCATTTTATGACCTTTCTTGTCACAGTTGTAAAGTGAATCACTGTGGTTGTAAGTTAATAATATGGTTGTTAAGTAAATCTGGGTTCTGCACTGACTTTGTTTATAAAAAGTGGGCAAAAGGTGATCACATAACCCTGGCACACTGCAACCTTCAAAAATATGAGTCAGTTACCAAGCAACTGAATTTTGATCACATGACCATGGGGAAACTGCAGAAGTTGTAAATGTGAAAAATGGTCATAAATCACTTTTTTCAATGTTGTTGTAACGTTGAATGGTCAATAAATGAACTGTTTTAAATCGAGGACTATCTGTATATATCTGAAACACAGTCAAGAACTGTGTTCCAGATATTCCATGGAAGTCAAGGATTTTATATTCATCAGAAATCTATCAGTCATCTCATTTAGAAATTAGTAAAGTTTGAACTTCTCAAGTTTCATTCATTCATTGCCAAAAGCAACTATTTTGGCTTTTCATGATGTGCAAACTGGACTTCCTGATTGTAAAATACTAATATTATAGACATACTTTAAAATATATTCCATTAAATTCAGTAACTTGTAGGATTTCAATCATACTATTATTTCAACTTTGTGTTTGTTCAGAACAGTGCATGAATTGCTGCTACCAGTAACTCTATCTCTCAAGGATAAAGTCACATTGTACTAACAAAAACAGGATATATGTATCTAACAATGTGAATATGATAACAAAGTATAATTGTATAAGTGGTCCTGAGAAGGCAAACCAGTAAAAGAGTGATATTTTGGTTCAGGCAGGATAAGGAGAATGCATCTGATTTGCAACCGGATGACCTTGGGACAAATATTACAGTCATACAACATATAAACACATAATCAATATTGCCATCTGACCAACAATTGTGGTTCTTAATTGGGACATGTGTTTCAGATGTAGCAGAGGAAAACACTTTGTGAGACTTTGAATTGTAGCATTGTATTTAAAAATAGAACAGCTTTTTCAGGTATGTGACTCTTAACCACATCACATCTATCTCTTGTTATTGTGAAAAATATGAAATAAAAATGTGAAGCTTATTATTATAATTAAGAATGGAGGAAATATACTGACTTATATTTGAAACTTCTGATAATTTTGGTTTGTATCACTGCTGGCTTGCATCAGAAAATCAGATAGAATTGGAAGTCAGTCTAACCATGATTTTTGCCTCCAGGCTTGGTTTTCTCCATTTTGAGGAACATGTGCAGAACAGTTTTATTGCATTATTGACTGCTACTAATCACTATTTTTTAAAAATGCATTTTTACTCTTTTTTCCTGTTTATTCTTAGGTTCTTGGAAGAAGAAACCTCCAAATGGCTAGAACATTTTGAGGGCAGTGGAGTTCCATATGGCCCAATCAACAGCATGAAGCAGGTGTTCTCAGATCCTCAGGTCAGTTATCTTGGAAATACTTTTACATGCTGTATGTTCTTTAAAATATTCAATTACTATCACTGGTACTATTAATTAAGTAATGTTTGATATATATTTTATCTTTTTTCTGAGAATTCAAAGCAGCTTATCTTTATTCCCTCATCAAGATAAGTTTGGACTATTCTAAAATTGCCAAATAATCTTTGTAACTGACCTCCCCAGTTTAAAACTAACATAACTTTTAAAATAAGTATTTTTTCTACACATTGTGAAAGTCATTTTAAAAAGTGCAAACTCATGTATTTTGTATCGTAAGATAGTTTATAGGGTCCTAACCACATTCTAATGACTTGGCATTATAAACATTAGGCTGTTGTGTCTTGTTCAAGTGTGGACTTGTCATTTTAAATCCATGTTCAAGTGTGGACTTGTCATTAATACAATCCATGATCATCGTTGTTAGCCACTCTATGGATCAGCATTCTCCATTTCCCTATGTTTGACACCTTATTCTTCAGATCCACTCCAAAATGTTCAAATTTGCTGGTTGCCAGCTGCTATGATTCATAATGCTAAATGTGTAAAATGTAATTACTTTTACAGTTAACTCTTATTTGAAAATCTCAAGTTTAAATATATTAATGTATTTATAATGGACAAAAGGAAGATTTTATCCACAATCTCACAAATAGGAATAATGAAACAGATTCTCTTTAATACTTTCATTTTACCCAAGATTCTATTAATAAATGTAATTTCATTCTTATTTTTTCTAGAGGATTTGATGTTGATACTAATTTTTAAATTATAAGACAGTAAGCTGCACTTCAATGAGTATTTTTTTTTACTCTATTATTATTATTCCATCCCTCATTGTTAACTTGGTTACATTAATAAGGCACTAATTCAATATTTTCTATATTATATCTTATTTGAGAAGTAACAATTACTACTAAGAACATCCTAGACAACCTGCTGGATGTTTTGTTCTAAAACCAGAAATTTTGTTAACTCCTCAAATTACTCATATCTATACTTAGCAGCACTTTGCTTCTTAATACAGATATTTTATAAACTTACCAGCTACAATAAACAGCAAGAACTAATACAAAAAACAGAAGCACCTCTTAACTAAATAAAAATGCCTTTCTCTATATTTAGAACACAACCAAAAAAAATGCATAATGGAAAAAGCTAGTCAGAGATACATTAGAATTGTTTTGAAATAAGAATCCTACAGCCAATAAAGAAAGATGGTAATCATTAAAGAGAAAGAAATATTAACTATCATATTGTAGAATCTGCCTCACAAGACAGATGGCAGTGATTAAAAGTTTTAAACTTCAAAGACAAGAATAACATGACATTTTTCCTTTACTGGCTACATTTATGTTACTACTTTACGTGGCAAAGTATTACCTTGTTGCAACACATATACTCCCCAAATAGCCATTAAGAAGGTGAATTGTTGTTATAAAAATGCTGACTTATCATTGCCGACTTATCCAATTTTGAAGCCCTTGGTTATGTGTACTGAATTAGTAGCAGTTTTTTTTCCTGTGTGTAATTTGCTTATCTGGAGATAAAGGTGAAGGGCTTTTATTGGTTACAATTGATTTCTATAGAAATATAATTGTATCGGTAGATACTACATCATCATTTATGGGAAGAGAAAGGGCAGTAAGAATATTGCCTTATTAGTAAGAAAGTCAATTTTTACACATTATAAATTTCAAGATAATTAAGTGTCAAATTTTGAATAATGAGATATGCAGATAATTTTACAAGTGTTCATATCTACAGTTATGCTAAGGTGGTGATTAATTATGTATGCAACAGGCTGAAAAACTAAATATTTGTGACTTTGTCAGAGGTGAAATCCAGAAATTAAACTGAGAGTAAGATAGTTTCTTTCATAAATTCTTCTGTTGTAAATAATACATACTTTCTATACTGGCTTTACTTAATTATTACTCAACTTCTAAATTTATGTTAAGGATTCTGAATACCTTCAGTATTTTCAATCTGTTCTCTCACCTCCATTCCACCACTTGATGCTCTTCCTCATTAGGCTATTTACAGATGCTAACATTTTCTATGATTCATCATATGATAAGGACACATCTGTTCATCTGTTCTGAGAAAGGAAAATATTTGCTTTCCAGATTGTCCAAATAAAATAGCCATATTTGTATGCATTATAATTTGAAATAAAATTATTTTTTTTATATCAGATAACAATATATACATGTATGTCTTCCCAGTGGGAAAACTGTCCTATGGGAATTTATAACATGAAATACAATAAATATGAAATTAAAAATCCAAAAATTGGCACAGTTAACTATTTAAGCAGTCAAGGAATCTAAGTTACTAACAGTGGAGACCTTCTGAGTTACGATAGTTTTTAGAAGCTGGAAAAGACAGGATTTTTTTTTATCATGTCAGAGAATGGTAATATTGGTTACTACCTGATGGAAGTAGCTATACACAATAATTACATTGGGTTGCAGGAGAGATACAAAATGCTTTAGTCATAGTATTTACATGAATATGTATTCTGTGAATTGCATTTAGATTAAATTACCCATGATGTAATGAAAAAGAAGTAAAATTTAGTACAGCATGCTTTCTTTCAATACCTTTTTTAAAATTGACAAATAGAAATTAGTATAGATTGCTAAAAAAAGATTCTTACTTTCAAGTGCCTTAGGGATTCAAATTGAATTTACCATATTATAACAACAAATTTGATTAAGTAGAAAATACTGTATTTTTCACACCATAAGACACACTTTTTTCCCCTCTCAAAAGTGGGTGGAAATGTCTGTGCGTCTTATGGAGAGAATATGGGCAATAGGCAGCAGCGGTGAATGGTGGCAACAATCCCCGCTGCCTGGAACAACTGATTGGCGGTATTCTGGGAGGCTGCTGATCAGCTGCTCAGAAGCGAAGGCTCCAATGTTCCCCGGCAGAGGCAGCAGACATGGAGGAGGCAGTTGACCAGGCTGTTTGCTGCAAGGATGCTAGCCAGATGAATACCGGATGGACTCTGGGAGGCAGATTTTTTTATTGTTTTCTTCCTCTAAACCTAGGTGCCTCTTATGGACCGAAAAATACAATAATAATATTTACATATATAAAATATTTGGTTTTCTGACAGATGTTCAATTTTTCTTAATTGGCAATAGCAAAACAATGAAAAATAAATGGATTAAGAACATGCAAAACGTATTTCTTGATTCAATTGAATACAATTCACTACTGACAGAGTGTATCTGCATATATTTGTTTTTAAGTATAAGGCATGATTTCCTAACTCATTTGGTGTTTCATTGTTTAAAAGAGACGTCTCTTTGAATTGCACTTCAAAGACTCAGAGTAGAATAAAGACATTTACTGGTTTTTAGTTCAGTTCTAAGTTACTAGGACTCTTCCCTGGGACTCTTGAAATGTTTTTTTCCTTGTTTCATTTCTGTCTTGTTTTTGAAACTAAGTTTACTATCAGAAATAGGATACTTAAATCTAAGAACAATATTTTATTTGTTTTAGTTTTTTTTCTTTAAAAGCTTGAAGAGAAGCAAAAGTCTCTATTTATTTTTTTAAAAGCAATACTTCCTACAATATAATCTTGTGAATATGAGATAGACAAGAATATAATGAGAGAATAACAAAGGACATAATGTTACTTACATCTTTATAACATTATTTCTTACCTGATAAAATTTTACAGGGAAAAAGGACTTTGTAGTTGTAAACATGTCAGCTTTAAATTGTGTTTGTGTACCATATATGCAAAGGATATTTAAAAAATAAAAAATTCCAAAGAACCAGAGAATTGGCTCTAATTATACTAGCACATGAAAGCATATCCAGATACCAGTTCATCTTACAGATGGAAAGTTGAACAAAAATAAAGTAGATTTATGTTTTTCTCCCTGAAGAAGATGAATTCTCTCCTGGAATTTCATTAATGGGTATGAGAACATTTAGTGTAGGGCATATTTTCCATTCAGTATCCAACCTCCATCCCAAACTAATGTAGCACTATATATACACATACACCCAGGCATACATGCATATATACTACATCCATCCATACAAATATTTACTTTAAGCATGAATATTCTGGTTTTTATCAGATTATATTGTATTATCATAGCATATACATTGTTGGTGGATTGGATTTTTTCTTTCTTTTAAAGAATATGCATTTTCAAGATCTGTTTCATAGTTTTAGGAAACTTTTTGAAACAGTTTTGCAAGTTATACCAAACTGAAGTAAAACAGAAAAAAGAATGATAGATTTGAATGTTTTAATGAATGAGTTGCGAAAAGAAATAATGAAGATATAAAATCAGGGCAGTTAACCATTTTACATGTTTGGTTAACATATAAGGCACATATTATGTAGAACATTTTTCAATTAAGTAAATTACAATGATGCTGGTCATTTTCATGCAGTTTTTTTAAAAATAAGTAAGCATTTCCAAACTTTGTTTTTTAAACAGGCCTTTAATCAGTCCAAGGTTTATGTACAGCATTAAAAGAATTCTCAACATTCTTAAATCAGACTTGTTCAACCTGCTGTTTTGCAGATGTGTAGGTATTATAACTTCCAGAATCCCCTGCCAGCATACCTAGAGATTATTGCAATCTGGAAGGTATGGGGTTAGAAAAGTCTAGTTTAAACATTCACTTGCTGTCAGACTGAAGCAACCAGGCATGTATAGTTAAAGTCAGTTGCTTGTCTGCTACCTAATTATAAGAATCTCAGCAGATTACTTGACTTCCTTCAGGAATGACCAGATAAGGCTTCCTGGAACTTGAGGAAGGTCAAGCATATGCCACTTGCAGCTGCACAATGACTCTAGTTAAGTTCACACTTGATTCCTTCTTCCAGCCTGTTTGCAGTTTTCCAACATCTGCTAATACATCTGCTGATATTATTTATTTATTAAACTTTAATGCTATCCTTCTCCTCTATAGGGTGACTCTGGTCTATCTATTCAAAATAATTTGTTATAGAATTCAGAATTTGGGAGCACAGTCAAATTGTGATGTATTTTCTTTTTAATGTGGTTTAAATAGGCACTGTTCTTCTTCCTTTCCTCTTCTTGTAAGAAGACAAGCAAGCAATGTAAAATATTTTAAATTTCAAAACATGTTTTCTTACATACAAATTTATACTCAACAAATACAAGTATTTTGGAAGAGCCCATGGAAAACTAATTTAAAAAACAGTCCATGCTACATTGACAGGATGTAGTTCCTGATGCAGCTATCACAACAATATGCACTATGTACAATATTTTTGGACAGCTATTGCCAACTGACTATTGTAAGAGCTTTTTATTTCCCTTTATATAGTGTAAAATGCAAGGATTTTCTGTATTAGTCATGCCACACAAGTAGAAGATACCAGGTATAAGACATCATTACACTGCATCACTTCTGAGAAATATTGGGAGGGGAATAGCAGCTCTGAACTATCACAGCTGTCCTTGTTTCCCTCTATGTGCCAAACACCTGCAGACTCTAAAAGGATACCAAAACAAAACTCCACCCTGTGGCAGGCAGCCAGGTTTAGTAACACTTCTCCAACTTTACTTTGCCATAAAAAATAATGTTAACATTTTTTGTAATACAGGAAACGTTTCTTCCTCTCCCAGAAGTCCAGTTCAGTTCTTCCTCTCTTTTCTTCCAAAGAGGACAATTACACTACACTCCAGAAAGAAGTACACAGTTGAAATAGTGAAATATTTGGTTGAAAAATAGCATCTCCTTGTTTTTAATTTGGATTATTTCTGAGATGTTACCAAGTTAGCTAGTTTTGCTAATTATAAACCACCTGTTTCAGTGTCAGGGCACATCTGTATGGCAGCTGCCCATACAGAGGGGAAACGTGGGATGTAGCTATGGAAAAAAGAATGCTGCTTCTCTCCCTCTGATTATTCCCATACTGTCATGGGACATCTTTTACAACCTTTGCTGATTCCACAATTGTTTTCACTGGCTGTGTGAATAGACTAGCTCATGTGCAGTACACATGCCATCCTCAGTTACAAGCACAGAAATTGTTTCCTACAGACTAAAATAAGAATCTTTTTCACTCATGCTCTCATGTATATTGCCCAGTACTAGTTTCCGCCCCCCCCCCAACATAAAAATGCTGAAATTTCTGCAGCAGCTGCTTTGTATGTTGTTCAAAGTCTAAAATGTAACTGGATGTTTCCAACCAAAATGAACTTGGGAAGCAATATCTTTACCAGTCTTACCTAGGTCAGATGTTCAGCTGGAAGGCCACAAAGTTTTGCATAACATGTTCAGCACTACCTCGTAAAACTAGCATGGCCAAGATTTGCTTTTGAGGATGGTTCTTCAGTTCAAAGATATGAAATGGGAGTTTTAAAGCATTTTAGCTCCCAGGATTCCCATTTTGCTCTTTAAAGTCCTTCCAAAATATCAATATTTGCAAAAAAGAAAAGGGCAAATATTTTTCGACTAAATATATCTGTTGACTAAAATTGGAGTGCTGGCAAGAACAAATGGCTCTAGGGCTGCACTTTCTCTAGCCTTGGACTAGATAGATGAAGATTCTGCATGCATGTATATGTGTTGTTATATTTCTAAATGTGTTTCTTCTGTATTATGTAGATTTGTTCAGTATCATTTACTTTGAACAAGCTCAAGTTAACAAGTCTTGGTATTATATTTTAACTTTTGTTGGAAATAGAAAAATGATAATCATTCTCATAGTTTTTGCAAACTATGCTTTTTATGATTAGTAAACTTGGTTGCCCCTCTCCATCCTAGTGTTTTTTCTGCAACTGTAAGATCAGCTCTTTGTGAATCCATTAGTTGTGACCAGTGGCGGGTTTCAAAAAATTTTGGAACTTACTCTGTGGGTGTGGGCTGCTTTGTGGGAGTGGCTTGCCAGGCATGTGACTGAGTGGGAGTGGCTTGCTGGCCATGTGATCGGGCAGGAGTGGTCAAGATGATGTCACTGAATTCTTTGCCCCAAAGGATGAACTACAATAAGATTAAAATAAGTACAAAAACAATAAAAGAGCTACTTACAGAAGGAAGATGACTGTTCATCATTGGGATGAAACCAGCACACAAAATAATAGAAAAGGAAAATTACTGTCCTTTTTGCATCTTTTGCACCACCACCACCTTATCACTTTGCTCCAACAACCTGCACAAAGGACAGGTTGTGACCATCTAAGAATAGGTAGCCTATTGCC